CAGCTTAGGAGCCGCATTCATGCTGCTTTACAAATCTCCTCCAGGAGGTGTCCTACTCGCGATGACCCCAGAGTGCCTTACACTGTGCTTGGGGACTCGGTGGACACTCGAGATGCTCAGTGGTTGGTGGATGAGTGAGGGGCTTCTCTTCATTTTTCTACTTTGGAGGTTTCTAGGGTCAGTGGTGCTGAGGGCCTTTGTCAGTGCAACTCAGTGCTTTGCACATGCAATCCAAGCACAGTAGTCACTGCATTTAGCTCTCAGCTCGCTCTCAGGAACCAGGCACTCTGCTAAGTCCATTACACCCCCTGCCATCCCAAGTTACACACACAAAACTGACGCTTGGGCTTTCAAGAAAACTCAGCCTGAGAGAACCCGGGTCCACCTAACTCTGAAGCTCCTTTTGTTTTTTGTTTTTCATTTTTTAAATTTCCATTAAATTCATTCTTTAACACACACACACACCAGAATACTAAGCACTCTTGATTCTGGAGCCAGATACCTTTCATACAGATCCCATTTCCATCCATTACATGTGTTCTTCAACATATCGCTCTCTCGGCTGAAGAGCGGAAACATCGTTTGCACCTATCACTTGCGTGTCAGACATGTGGCACACTTAGCAAGGACCTGTCATCTGTTTAATAATGGTAGGGACCCAGCATGCAGTTGTTGCTTTGGTTCAGCTCGTCCTGGAAGACCACAGGAAGGAGTCTTCAAAAGAGAGAAGGCCATAGCTGGGCAAATGGAGGGAAAGATGGCATTTCAAACAAGCTAATCCAACAGAAGGAGGTGTAATCGTGCCAGGTGTGTGGTACCTGCCACAGGAGCGAAAAGCAAACTGAACTGGATTAACTGTGTGTTTGCAATAGAACCGAATGGCTGTGTGGGTCCCTGGAAACCAGATGGCGGATTTTGATTTTAATTCAGTGGGGACCCTCCCATATGGCTGAAGAAGGTGGAACAGGAAACTGCAGTTTAAAAGGATTAATTGGAGGGGCACTCAACTGAAGCCTGTGTACCAAGGCAGGGGACTCAGCAGAAGTGATGACCAGAATCTTCTGCAGGAGCTGAAATGGGAAAAGGTGATGTTGAGAAACATGCCTGTGAGCGGAAGCAAGGTGCTGGATTAAAAGCAAGACATGGATTAAATCTAGAAATAACAAAAGGAAGAAAAGTCCCAGGTTAAGTTTTCTGTCCTGAAGCCTGAAGGCAGTGAGTGTAGCGATCAACTCCCAGAAAGTGGATAGTAAAAAATATACAAACAAACAAAATATGAGGGGGAATTCTGTTTGTATCTTAGAATTGAAAGAAATTTATTTATAACTCAGTCATTTGGTGAAATTTTTCTGCCGTCTACAGGAAATTTTTTATAATCTTACACATAGTAAGATGATATCGTGAACAATAAATCCAGTTTACAGTTGATATATGTTAGGTAAAGCCAAGAGACCCTAGAAGCCTTGTCCTGCAGATATTTGGAAATAAAAAACCAAGAATTCGAATAAGAAACATCTGAACGTGCCTATCCCCCTCCCACAGACAGCAGGCATAGTAAGTAACAAGAGGACATATTTCCAAAAGAATAGTGGAGAGAGAAGAGTCTGGAACACCGAGGCCTCTGCAGCACTTGGACATTGGAGAGAGACAGGAAGGAGGTCGTGTTTGCTGCCGTGGATAGAGCATAGTATAGGGAAAACTGCAGACATGCTGACAGTAGAGAGCGGGCCAGCTCAGCAATGGTGACATGGGGATTTTGTTTAAATGTTCTCAGGAACAAACTTGAATAACTGAATGAAGCCCTCCACTCCTTTTTCTCTGACTTGATGCATAGGTGATTATAAGCCCTGCTTCAGATGAAAAGAGCCAGCGCCCACTGAGGTGGAAATGATTGCTGCCCACTCTGTCTTGCTATAACTCCTGCAAGGACTCTTGCTACCTGGTCTTTCTGCTACTAAAACCAGTAGCAGAAAGAAACAGCAGAAACCCATCCCAGCAGCACCCCTGGAACTGGCCCCTGTTCCTCTCAAAGCAGAGCTGGGGCTCCCTCTACATCTCTCAGATTCACCCAGACCCACAGGGGTTCTCAGTACTCAGTATTTGGTATTAAAATGTGGATTTTGCAAGTTTTTAAGTTTTTAATTTTAATTTTCATTAGTGTGCAGCAGATGTTTTTCTATTGTAGGTAGCAGTTGTTAGGCCCTTAAACTGTTATCCAGATGATGACAGACATGACAATGGTACTGTCACCATGAACAAGGAGAAGACACCCCAGAGACAAGAAACCAAATAAATTACCCGTAAGAAACCGTGGCTAGTCAGATAGAGGGGTAAGCTGGAAGGCTGTTCCATTGCCCAGCTTCTGTTATCCTGTTGATTCTCTCAGGAGTCCTCTTCGTGCCTGACATCCCAGGCTCTGAGCTGGAGACACAGTTGTCCAGAAGACATGGAGAGAGCAGGGAGAGTCCAGGGAGAGCACCGTCACGAGGCACACTTCTGACAGTCCGTCTATTTGTCACACTTGAAGCCATAACAACTCCAAATACAGGCTGCTGTGGCAGCATGGAGCTGGGAAACCTGTCCAGGTGTTACTGATCAGGTGGAGGATGTCCATTGAGCAAGAGCAGAGAGGCAGGGGTTAGCCACAGCGTGGCAGTGGACTGTCCTCTCTGTGGGAGTTGCCTCCTTCCAACCCTCTAGCCCCTCTAACTTGGCCCAAGTTAAGCACTTCCTGCAGCCCCAGCAGAATCCCTCGTGGGGCTGTGTGCTGTGTTGCTGGGTGACTTCAGACACGCCCTCCTCAGACGTGGGTTTCACCTGCATCCTGCACAGCCGTATGAACAGACACCAGGCAGAAACAACTGCCTGGTGCCCTTCAAAGCCACACTCTAGGGCCAGTAAGTTTGTACCCTCTGGAGGCAGGAAGCTAAAACAAGGAGAAAGTAGAAGTAACGAGAGGAGTAGGAAAATAAGTGTTGGTTCTTTCCATTGCTAGCTTGTCGTTCCTTGAATTTAACCTTTTGTCTTGAAAGAGAAACTATCCTACATCTTTTTAAGTTTTCTGGAAAAAAAAAAAAACCTGGGTGTGGTGGTGCACACCTTTAATCCTGCCACATGAAAGCAGAGGCAGCAGAGTTTTGGTCCAGGGCAGTCTGCTCTTGACACTGAGGAAAGCCTGTCACCCTAAGCCCAGTGGCTTGGAGTCCAAGCGGCACGGACAGAATGCCCAAGGACAGAAGGCTGTGTGAAGAATGCCTTGAAAGAAACTTAAAACAAAATGACTGCTCAGAGAATCCCAGATTGTGCGGGCAGCCACCAGCACTTACGGGGAGATGGAGACAAGAATTCTTTAAATGGAATGCAGAAGAGCCAAAGGAAATGACGGAACTGTTTGCCCGCCTCAGTGTTAATGTGAGATGCCGCAGAGGGAAATTGCAGGGTTGTCTTTTGTTTTTTTGTTTTTCAGTTTTGATTTCACACTGGCATGAAAGAGATAAGAGAAGAAAACTACATTGCTGGCAAGTGCCAGGGTGTATTTGCTAAGGTTGTTATGGTGTACTGTGTTTAAAACAAAAATGTAATTGGTGTAATTTATCACCTCTGGCCACTAAAACCGCCATCATTTAAAGATTTTAATCACTTGCCACTTTTGCACAGTGACTTTTCATAGATGATGCTGTGACAGTTCTTATTTCTATCAGCCTTTGTATGCTTTCTAGCAGTCCTAAACATAATTAGTATGCTTTAAGCATGTCCCTCTTTGCATAACTAATAACAGAATCCTTGTATTCTTCCTTTGGTCTGTCCAAGAAAATGCCTGGAACTGCTTTATAGTTGCTGACCCTAATATAAAAACACAGGCTTCTGGGTCCATCTTCATCTGTGCACATCACTCCAGCAATGTGATGAGCAAGGTGGACCCCACCCTTTAGATGTGGAGAGGAGAAGGGTCTCCTGATGATCAGAGACATTTGAAAGATGTAGTCCTGCGGCCCTTGCCGTGTGTGTGTGTGTGTGTGTGTGTGTGTGTGTGTGTGTGTATCTGAATAAGAATGGCCCCCATAGGCCCATATATTTGAATACTTAGTCACCAGACTCATACTGTCACTGAGGCAAGCCCTGTCTTAATCACTCACTTGAACCCTGTCTGCTAAGAGATAGGAAGAGACGAACGTGATCATAGAGTACAGAATAAAAACTTTCTAGGGATAAAAGTGCCTACTATAGAGAGGAAGAGTAGAGGGAAGCAAGACATAGCCAGAGCAGGCTCATTTCCCTACGGTGTGTGTAGGAAACTCAGGAAATACAGCCCACTGCAGTGTCACAGGCATGCTGTGTCCATTCACCTCCCCCCGAAGGAGACACTGGAATTTTGTGGATTTGTGGCACCTCATAAGACCAGTCAATGACTTTATATACTAGGGGACACAGGAGAAGAGTGTGGTGATCTGATCCTGGGTGTATTTATTAAAATATAGCCTATTTCAAAGATATATGCGTGCATCCATATAGACATACATGATGTCTTGGTCACTGTTCTATTGCTGTGAGAGACACGGTGACCATGGCAACTCTTACAGAGGAAAGCATTTAATTGAGGCTGGCTTTACAGTTTCGGAGGTTTAGGCCATTAGCATCATGGTGACGAGTATAGTGGTGTCCAGGCCAACACGGTGCTGGAGAAGTAGCTGAGAGTTCTACCTCCAGATCCACAGGCAACAGGAAGAGAGCCACTGGGCCTGACGTGGGCTACTGAAACCTCAGAGCCCACCCTCGGTGAGTCACTGTCATCAGTGAGGCCACACCTCCCTGCTTAAAGTCACCGAGCCAGGCCCAGGGCATACATCACCTCAGCACCCGGCTGTTCCTCCCCACCCCCTTCCTGCCCCTCTCACTCAGCCTGTCCCCCTGAAGAGGACTTGCCGGTACTCACTCTCTCTCTCTCCCCCTCACCAGCATAGGCTCTCCACCTCATGGTTAACCAGCTTTTCCTTCCACAGGTGCAAAGTTTCCCATCAAATGGACAGCCCCAGAAGCTGCCCTGTACGGGAGGTTCACAATCAAGTCTGACGTGTGGTCTTTTGGAATCTTACTCACAGAGCTGGTCACCAAAGGAAGAGTGCCATACCCAGGTAAGAGCACAGGCCTGGGCAGTGGGTGTCTAGTAGGTCTTCTTTTGACTTCACTCTGTAGGGCCCCTGCCCAGTTCCTTCCCGAGCCCTGTGCTCCAGCCTTCTGCCAAGGTATTTAGCCAGAGGAATGCAGAACCCGGGATTACCATGACCTGTGCACTAACTTTAATGTGCCGAGTAGCTGGTTTAAATAGTTCCTGTCCCACAGGTCATGGAATTTGTCCTGTGTCAGTGGGTGCATGTGTCGTGGCTCCTGGAGCATGTGTCACTGGCCGAGCCTGTGCCCGAGGGCGGTTTGTAGGCATGTCTGGGGAAGAGAGGGAGAAAAGTTCCTGCTGCGGCTTTTTTATCACGCTGCAGCACTGACCCACACAGCAAACGTGGCGGGCAGATGCCAGAACCTGCTCTCTCTGAGACTCCAGCTCCAAATGGCCCCGGAGCAGAGGGACATGAAAGGCAGCTTAGAGCCACCGCTCTCTGCCTGTTGCTGAATGGGCAGAGCAAAAGGGCGTGTGTTATAAAGGAACTGGAGTCCCTGGGACCCCGCAGTTGTTCTGGATAATCAGGTGCTGCTTCTCTGGGAAAGCCACGGGTTAAGGTTAGCCATGCTTAAATTCATTAAGTTAGCCAGACGGAGACATAGGGCACACGTGCCATTTCACCTTTCCGCTTTACTAGTTTCAGTGCAGGGACAGTCTGCTTTGTGAAATGTTAAGGGCATATTTCTTAGTTACTGCTGAGCAAAGCAAGAGCATAGCTGGCTCACTCTCTTCATTCCCTGCCTTAAAAGGGAGCTAAAATAAAAGAAAGAGAGAGCGAGAGGAAGGAAGAAAGAAAGAAAAAGAAAGAAGCCCACAGTGATAGAAACGATAGCAGAGATTAATGAAGAATGTAGGTCTCTTGCAAATCCCTGGCTTGTAATCATATCTTTGCAGTCAGAGGAGCCAGCGAGAGCCGATTAATTTGTAATCCCTTTGTTCATTTCGTCTGATTGTTTCTGGTCATCGTCAGAGAACAGAGGAGTGTTCTGAAGGAGCCTCTCTGTCTAGGCTACTACAGTCTCGAGACCTCTGAGGGGGCAGGGTTGGCAGTGAGGCAGAATTAACAATGTGCCAGTCTCCGAAGCCCCTGCAGCAGCGTTGGGAGGTGTGGGTGTGTGAGTCTGCTTTATTGATGCTGCAGCAGCGGCCGCCACCAGCATGCACAAGTGGGAATAGTCAACCAGCGGAGAAGAAAGGGCAGCCCGGAGGGGGCGGGGCCCAGCACCCGAGCTTTTGAATTGCTTCTCAAGGATGAAAATATGCCATTCCAGGTTTTAAAGATGAGAAGGCACTTTCTTAAAAAAAAAAATTTTATTATCGTCTACATTTTGAACTAATTTCTTCCTGAATCTCCCCAGGTTTATGGACACCCGGTGTGTTAAAAAGCAATCACGGGAAAAGGTTAATGTTTTGCATTTTGGTAAAGCCTTCCCTTCCAGTAACACAGGCTGCTTTTCGTTCCTGGGTGACACACGGAAGCCAAAACAAAGAGCCGGAGGTGGGGCCTCAGAAGAGGGAGGCAGGTATATCTGGAGACCCAAGGTTTTGTCAGGTTGAGATTTAGCACAGAGAAAATAACCTGGGTTTACAAGTCAGACTGGATCCATTCGCTCGGCATGGTTTGGCGTGACCTGCGTTCCCTGGGGAAATAGTACAAATAAGCCGTCCAGCTCTCAGGTGGCACTGACCAGTCCCTGTCCTAGAGCAGGAACTGTTGGTGCTGGAGGGAAAGCAGTGACCCGATAAATCATGGAGTCCTCTGAACAAGGAACTTGCTGTCGGAGAGGGTAGGCGTCAGATACTTACGGGGGGCAGCTTACTTAAATGTGCACACTGTGTGCCCCAAACCTCAGTTCTCATGCAGCAGGAGCAGGGGCAGAGCTAGCCCCTTCCCTGAGAGTACCACGAAGAGAGCAAAGGAAGTGTAAGTGAGAACTGGGCCCAGTAGATAGTGTGTGTACTTAGGCCTGTAAGCAAGTGCTGACCTGTCACACACCTCCCTAACTGCACCCATCTGCTCAGGCCACAGGGAAGGGAGAAGTCGAGTAACAGACCACAGGGAGCAAGGGCTGCTCACAGTGAGGAGGCCGAGGCCTGCCTGGCGCCTGCCAAGGTGGCTGAGATTCGGCCCAGTTTAAGGAGCTGTAGGGAGGTTCCCCGAAGAGGTGTGTGAGGTGAAGTACTTGATGCTCTTAGAAGGATGGAGCCAGTTGTGAGGGGCCTCTCTGCTGCCATGAGGAGACGTGGATAGCCCAAGAAGCAGCTGTGTCAGGGAGGGAGGGTCGTGAGCTGCCAACGCCATTCCCACACTTGTTCTCGTAGCCACAGACCTGCTTGTTTTGCTTTTTCTCTTTTTTTTTTTTTTTAACTCTGCTATAATCATATTTAGTTGGACTTCTGAATGTGGCAGAAAACCCTTCTTGAGGGAGAAGCTTCTGCAGATGGATTGCACTTGCAGGTTTAGGGACAGCAATCCCAGGGCACAAACCTTCTCATTTAGCATTATCCAGATGTCACGGTGGTTGTTGGTGTGGTCCAGCCAGCCAGTCACTGTATACGGAGGGTCACCTCACCTCAGCCCTCCTGCACGGGATCTCTTGTTCCCTGATGGTAGGAGTCCAGGACAGAGCCCTGGTCTCTGTTTACTTCCATTCTGCACTTCGACACATCATTTCTCAATTGCCTACAATGTATTTTCAAATAGTTCTCTTCTCAAGAATAGTAGGTGGTGCTAAAGTTTTCTGAGTTCTTTCATACCTGAGAATGGTCCTCTGTCACCATTGTCACAAAGGGAGGGTGCTCTGTCTGCTTAGTGACAGTAAAATGAGAGAGGGAGAGAAAGTGAGCTTTGCAGAAGCTTCCCACACATTTCTGCCCAGCATGCAAGTCAGTCCAGACGTGAGCCTCAGAGAAGAACTAAGAATGTAATGGGAGACACGAGGCCAGATGAAGGGCCACTTAGCAAGGGCAAATTAGCACTGAACGCTGTGCGTAGGTAAGATGGTATTCACTACACTGACTGGAGACAACAGAAGGACAGAGGACATTTTGACACTGAGCAAGAGCCTTAAGCCCTTAAGAGGAGTGCTGAGATTACAGGGAAGCGGCCAAGTAAGGAGGGCTGCTGTGGAACGAAGATGGTCACCATTATGATGCACAGCTCCGTTTGCTGCCATGACGACTGCAGCCCCGGCCGGTGGCGCTTGTCATTGGTACAGTCCAGCCTGCGTTCTGCCTGCAGGGTTTGAAGCCATCCTTTGCCTGGAGATTAGAACTGCTTTTATATTGAGGGGTCTGTTGTACGGGAAAAATGGTAGTGCCGATGCCAGAGCTGTATCCTGGCTTGGTGCATAAGATGAAAGCTTCGCCTTTTAGCCTGCTGTTTCACCTCCAGAACCTTTCTCAAATTCTTTTCCCCTCTGCCTTCACATCCACCACCTATATCAAGATGTCACCTCTGGGTGGTGACCTCCTGATGGAACTTCCTGCCCCTGGTCTCTCCCTTCCTCCCCTCTTCCACCACCATTCTGTCATTGTCACCAGGAGAAATGTTATCCTGGAAAACAGATGTGTTATCTCACTCTGGTCCTGGTTCAGGATGCCCAGGGCTTCCCCTTGCCCTCCGGATAACTCCAGAAGGCTGCATCTCGTACAATGCCTTATTGGCTTTTCCTTCATTCAGTCGGCAGATACTCATTGAATGCCTAGTACGTGTTGAGGGCTGTTCTAGACACAAGGATTATAGCAGCGAAGCAATGTGCAGACTTCTGCCCTCAGGAATGTTTTTCTTAGAAAAAACACACAATAAAGACCAATAGAATATATTCACTCTCAGCTGGTAGTATTGAGTGGGAAATAGTGACAATGGACGAGTCACTGGGAGGTGCTCTCTGTATAACTCTGGTGGACGCTAGACTTGGACCGGGTGGGTCCCTAGGGCGACTGAGCACACCTGCAGAGCTCCATGGAGCAGGAGGTCCTGCTCCTGCAATGGGGTCTCGTAAGCAAGTATGCTTTTCCTCCTTCTACTGCTGTTGTTTAATTCTGAGATTGTATTCTAGTACATTTCTCTTTTGTGTTTCCTCCCTCTGAGCCCTCCCACTTGCCCTGCCCCACTCCTGCAATTCATGGCCTCTTTTTTAATTGTTACCGCATGCATATGTGTATTTGCATATCCATACATATCTCTAAATATAGCCTGCTGAGTCCATACGGTGTTGCTTGTATTATGCTTTCAGGGCTGACCGTTTGGCACTAGACAACCAGCTGGTGTGCTCTTCCCTTGGGAGGGCCAACTCTCTCGTGCCCAACTTTACTCGGTTGCCTGTAGTTCTATGGGTAGGGTTCAGGCCCCATGCAGTCGGCATGTCCATTGGTGTCCTCCTTGTTCAGTTCATGTTTGGACTGTGACGTTGGTGAGACTTCACAAGGATAGCTTCTGATGTTACCAGGAGACACAGCTTCGTAGAAATCCCCATCCCCTGGCTCCTAAAATCTTTCTGTTCCCTCTTCCGCAGTGTCCCCTGAGCCTTAGGCATAGGAGGATTTTGTAGATGAGAGCGTTTATTCTTAATTGCGAGGTGAGTGGTGATGAGGAGAAGAGTGAAGGGAGGGTCTGACTTAATGGTGTCTCTGCTGTCTCCCTCTCTTTACAGTCTATCTTGGACACACCAAGAAATCTGTTTGTGACAGGGTCTCACCGTGTTAGCCTAGAAATGGCTGTTTCAGCCAAGCCGACCTCAAACTCTCTACCTGTCTGCCTCTATCCCCCGAGTGCTGGGATTAAAGGCACACATCAATATGCCAATATGTTCTTCAGTCTGGAATTCCTAGTAGCCCTGCCTTCCTTGAGAGGAACAGGCCAATGCTCTGTCTGCCCAGAGTAGACTCTGTATAAGCAAATAAAGGAGTGGGTGAATAAAAGGAGGGAGAAATTAAAAAGAAAAAAAAAAAAAACCT